TTTAGTTCTGTTTACGGAACCATCTAACAGAAAGAAAGACACTCGGAGTTACATTGTTTTGTAAACTAACAGCCTAAGGAAGTCCACATCTAGCAATCCAAGTAGACAAAAATGGTGTCCACTTGTTTTATAGTGAGCTCTGTACATATACATATTACCTGGTGATAGCAACAGTGGATAAACACATACACAGAGATTGATATGTAGATCTATGTACTTACAGAAAAATACAAAGTTGAAAGAGGTATATACTTCATAAAAGGGGTGACTCACCCCATTGAAGGATCACACTAGGCACTCTCGTGCTGTATGAGTATCAAGACCAGAACCCTAACTCTTATCAGATATTTTGGGGAGGTATGTTTTAGCCCTACTCCAAACTCCATAAAGAGTCATCAGATACAGGGACATACCCCCTCTCTCTAACTTGTCGAGGCAACCGTAAAAAAAGATGTATTACAAAAAGAAAATGGATGTATAAACAATTTGATTTTGCTGTCAGGTCTGTGCACCCAGAGGGGGTACCAGATGAGGTTTCATGTTAGGTTTTTAGTTTTCCAAATTCTGAAGTCCCATGGAGCAAATACCTGATTATCTATAAGCGGTACATTGATGACATTTTTATGATTTGGGGTGGAATTCAAAATATTTTAACCCTATCTCAACCACTCTATGTGAAGAATAGAGTTCAATAACAAATTTGAATTTGAATTTCTTGACCTACAGATACATATAAAACATAACACTATACAAACTAAAACTTATTTGAAAGAGGCAGACATTAATAGTTTTATTTTACAGGATAGTTGCAATCTCCCCAGATGGCTTAAGAACATCACCAACAATGAAATAAGTAGAATAAGGAGGGATCTCTCTGAGCATAGTGTATTTGAAGAACAAGCTGATATTATAAAAAAAATAGGTTTGTGGAGAAGAATTATGTGGAAGACCTTATCAACTCCCACATTAAAAGAACCTTATTCATGAATAAGGAAGACCTATTGAGAGAAAACAAGGTGAAAAACAAGAATGAAAACAACAGGCCCCTTTGACCCTAGATGAAAAAAAAAAGAAAAAGAAAATGTGAAGATAATAAGAATTATTAACAGACAGATTTTAAAGAAAGATAAATCACTAGATGGCATTATAGGGAAAACAAACTGTGGAGAAATCCCCTGTTCCCTATGTTATATACCCATTGCATTCCCTTTTTTCTCTCTATTTCTGCCTATTGCATTCGGTAGATGTAACTACCGAACAAAGACCACCCCTCTGGCTCATTAAACATCAAAGTTTGGGTGAAAGTGCTACCTCTGTATGTGCGGCCAGCGTTCGTCAGTCGAACGCCACGTAGCAGAGAAAACCGTGGCCATCTTTGTTCATGCGAACAAAGGCAGCAGGACCTGGTCGTCGAGTGCATGGAACTGAAAACGGACACTGGACTTCCCGAACACCGGTCCCAAACAGACGAACGCTGGAACTCTATTTACCAAATAGCTAGAAGAGCGCTATTCGGTACTTTGGTGTATTCGACAGAGGGGCACGAACGCTGCTAGGAGCCAGAGGGATCCATTCGGTACTTTGTTTGTTTTTATGCTTTTTCGAAACTGACTGGCAAAACCCACCAAATTCATGGAACTGTTTTGGGCATACAGCCCAGGGTGAGCCGGTCACAAGAGACTTCCATAGTTTTTGCGAACCCCTGAACCGATCAGGGTGAAATTTGGAAATGTTGGTCACCCAGATCAGGGCTATCAGGGGACATATAATTTATGGGGATACCTCAAGTATAAAGGGGTGTGTGAAGGATCTCTTGGACTTACCTGTATGCCTTCAGTTATGTCCTCTCCCTGCTGTTTTAATACTGTATTCTGTATTCGGTTTTTGGTTATTTATGTGAAAGCTGGTATTCGTCCACCGAACAAGAGACCACCTACCATGGGTAGCAATCAGCCTTAGAAGGAGGAGAAAACCACAAATTAATTGCTCCTGGGTGGCCGCCATTCGGCATACGAAAACGTGGCGAGAACAAAGGATGGCGGCCATCTTAAAAACTCACGAACGTGGTCAGCGGGCATACGCATGAATTGCCTGGAACTATTTTCGGCAAGGCAACCATGCGAACGCCCGGTATTCATGGAAGTCCTGGATGTATACGTTCCCCTTCACGAATCAAACTGGAATTCGGTAGATAGAATCTACTGAATGAGGGGAACATTCGTATGTAACCAGCTGTACCATACGAATGGTAGTTTTCGTGTAGTTAGATGCGAACGGAGACCGGCTCCTGCTACTAATTTCATGGAACTCAAACTCTGATAACTCCACATGGCCGTTTCTCGTTCTATGGGTTTGGGGTCGAGGTCCCGCTGCCCATTAACTCGCTTGAAAACATGGCCGCCACCTCAGGTTCGGGACACAAACAGACTTTATATTGAGGAAATTAGCCATACCGTTCGTGAGTTTTAAGTGCTATTCGACTATCTGCTGCGCTCAGAACTGGGCTACATAATGAACAGTAGAATGCATGAATGTAAAAGTAAAATGCAGTAAAATGTTAAAGTTATGTATTTTTATATGGTTTTGCATGTTACAAGAAAACGTGGGATTGTTGGCACTTGGAGATAATTACATTGTCATAACCGTTGGAAAATGATTATCTCCAAGCTGGGCGGTAGCAATTTCAAAAGATATATTGTGTTTCTATTGGTTAACTACTTGCATTGTCCCTGTATCCCATCAGGTCCAGATGGGGCTGTCACTGGACCTGAGATTTCACATAAATACTGATGCCTGTGTGCCAGTAAAACCAGTTCTTTCTTGACCCTCAAATCGCAGCCTCGACTCGTTTTGTGGGTGAAAGGGTATCCTAGCTGTATTATAGCTAGTGGGATTATTCTACATTTACAGAATTTTCGTGGTATACTGCCTGGAGCGGCTCTTCTCTCTCTCTACACCGGGAAATCAGACTAGCCAAGCGGTCCAGCTTTCAGCTAGCCTGGAGGTAACCGTAACAGGTATTTTCTCTATACACTACACACATTTGGAATTTATATATATATATATATATATATATATATATAAAACCAAATAAGATGACATGTTGTGAAAAAAATTTATCTTGATTCCAAGATTCAAGCTTATAGGGGTCATATAATGATATCCTATATTAAAATTGGCTAACTTGGTCTCAGGAAATGCTTGGGAGATCTCTATCTCGAATTACCTTAGCCTTAATTCATCCGTTATTGCATTCTCTGATGGGACTTTACCAGCACTATTTAGTTGCTCTCCGATTTAAGGTTTTCTGGGCTGGGGTATTTTCATTTTCTATTTGTGCTTGCAAATTTCGGCATTTGCGCACAGTACACTGAAATTATTAGTTTACATCACGCTTATCAGGGCGCTTAGATTTAGATTTATTTTTCACTTATCAGGGTTCTTGTATATTTGACAGCTAGATAGTTTAGCTTTTCTATTAGAGGTAGGCGCCCTTGAAGGCACAGTTAGACTTTTGCAATCTCTCTCTCTCTCTATATGTATTAAGGCAGTTTTGCCTGTATTTGTGGGAGGGGCTTAAATTAATTCACTCCCCTATATAAGGGACACCCCTTACCTGACTCATATGGCTTGAGGTCAGCATCAGAATGATTTCCACTTCCGGGTCATCCAGACGCCATTTTACCTGATTACTCCATGAGGTTTTCTAAGCTGAGCTGTGTCAGGAATCCAGCCACAAGCTTTTCCGGCCTACCACCTTCTTTCTTCAATCCATCGCCGTGGATGGTGTCCAAGTGACTCACAAACAGTAAGTCGACCTACCCGTTACGCCAGGCATCAGTCCCACGGCACCATGCACGGGTCAGGTCCTCACTTTACGGCTGCATTTTGTCTATGTCTGTTCTAAAACCATTGCATGTTCATGCATATCATTCGTTTAAACCCCCTATTGGTCATTCGGTGTACTACAGGCATCTTAGACGTTTTTTGCATTTTCATGTACAAACCAATAAACCACCTCATTTTCACCTACACACTGACCCCTACCGGTTTTTGGTGTACTACAGGCTTCTTAGACATTATCGCATTTCATGTACAAATAAACGAATCACTGCATTTGCACCTACACACTGACCCCTACTGGTCATTTGGTGTACTACAGGCTTCTTAGATATTATCGCATTTCATGTACAAATCAACGAACCACTGCATTTGCGCCTACACACTGACCCCTACCGGTCATTCGGTGTACTACGGGCTTCTCAGACATTATTGCATTTCATGTATAAACCAACAAACCACTGCAATTTTCACCTACACACTGACCCCTATCAGTCATTCGGTGTACTACAGGCTTCTTAGACGTTTTTGGCTTTTCATGTACAAAACCATAAACCACTGCATTTTCACCTACACACTGACCCTTACCAGTCATTCAGTGTACTACAGGCTTCTCAGACATTATTGCATTTCATGTACAAACCAACGAACCTTTGCATTTGCGCCTACACACTGACCCCTACAGGTCATTCAGTGTACTACAGGCTTTTCAGACATTATTGCATTTCATGTACAAACCAACTAACCACGGCATTTTCGCCAACATGCTGACCCCTACCGGTCAATCAGTATACTACAGGCTTCTCAGATTTTATTCCACTTCATAAGCAAACAAACGAACTACAGCATTTTCGCTTTTATACTGACTCCTATCTGTCAAATGGTAGCATTAACCCCTTAAGGACACATGACATGTGTGACGTGTAATGATCCCCTTTTATTCCAGAAGTTTGGTCCTTAAGGGGTTAAAGGGTATTTTAACATACAATCAGCATTTCTGACCCCTACTGGTCAACAGCAAACTGTCTTCACATGTCATATACAATTTACCAGCCAATATAAATTACACATAAGATTGTTTTAAACATAACTATAGACCATAAATTAAACTCCAGCACAGGCTCAACTTCAGGTTTAATTCACAATAATTTACATTTCACATCAAGACCAACAGTGGTTCTATCAACACTGCCACCTACAGGTCTGTCAAGTACATTGACAATTTTCATGGGGTTTTACAAACACCAAAACACTGACACCTATAGGTCAACAGACAAACAACATTTCACATACCAATCGTATCCAACTACACTGCCACCTATAGGGCACTCGGCAGATCTCCAGTGCACTTGCATTTTGCAACACCATGTTCACTGACCCCTACCATTCAATAAGACATACAACAATTCACATAGCAAGCACTATGTCAACATCTGGTATAAATACATATATTATTACACAGTAGCAGACGCATCTGTATAGATGTAACTGGTAATATAGTTCACATACATTTTTCACAGCACGCTGCTCCCGCAACAGACTTCCCCTAGCAAGGGGACATACAACATACAAGGTGGGGACAGACCACATTTTCACTTGTACATACGGCACTTAATGGGTTAAGAGATACATTTAGCCAGTATGGCTACGATGTTTAATATTTACACATCACGTCACTTTACTTTTCACATATACTGTACGTATTAAGATAAGCTTGGTCTATGCCATATTTCCTTATGCCATACGGTTTTATCCATTCAGGTTACAGTTACTACTAAAAAACCTATACGGATTGTCAGGTTCAATACCATACTACCAGGTACATACACCTGCTCACGTAGTTATCCATCTCTTACCTTCCCTGGAATAGTAATAGTGTACTGGCAATTAGGGTTCTAGGGCCCAATAGGTATTACCCCCTTTTTTCTCTGCATTATGCTTCGGTTAGTGGTCCCGCGAGGCCAACACCCCGCCTCACACTCGGAGGCATACACCCCTCGGGCCACTCGTGAGCTAGTCGCCTCGCATTGTATCATAGAGAGGACCTCACCTGTCACTCCCCTTCCTATTTTCTGGTTACTGTCACCGAGAGGCCAACATCCTGCCACAACGTTCGGTGGCCACACAAAATCCCCTCGCGCCAAGCATAGATAGAGCCTCTCAAGCCACTTGGCAACTAGCAGGGCCTCACCAGTCACCAAAAAACACCAAGTCTAATCGTTTCGCCTTACGGCTTAGCTAGCAAGCCAGTACAAGAACCCTGGGTACAAATAATAATTGCAATCTTTATGGTTATTTAAGTATTTCTCAAAAGATGGTGAAGAATCACCTCTTCCTAGCACCCCGGCTAGAATTGATACACCTTCAAGCAGAGGAGATGTTGCTAGTCCAGCAGCAATCAGATCCTGGACGATCCCACACATTACCACCGACCTAAGGAGGTGACAAATCCCCTACCCTGCTACAGCAAGGAAAGCAGAGTTATTCAAACTCCTCCATACATCAACGGACAACACGGAGGCAGGGGAAGGCCCAGCTACATCAACTCAGGTGACACCCAGGCTATGCTAGCTTCACTCATAAACTCATGAGCCAAAAAATTTATGACAGACTGGCAATCTCGAGTTGGTCACCACAGCCCTCACAAGGCTGGGCCTCACGCTACTGTACAACCAGCACCAACCGAAACTCGGTTACCTGGTACAATCAATTCTTATGACACACAAGATGTTAAACCTGCACGTATGATCCCAGCACATTGGGGAAGCAAGGCATATATATGTATGATGATGTATCTGTGATGGTCAGATCCAGGGATTCCAGGTAAATCGGGAACTGACCATCCCTTGGTTGGGTTGGCATTTGGAATATGTGGAGATGTTTATTTGTGCAGGTACCCATACAGAAGGGATTCTGTCCCAAACAAATGGACGAGCACTCTCAGGCTCCAGGTACCAACACCTCTGAACTCCCAGAGACCACTGATATGAGTAGTTGCATTGCATACAGACTGTTGCATATATGTTCAAATAGTTCAGGGCACATGACAAACCATGTGTCCCAATACAACTTACAAATAACGTATTCACCATCTGTACACACCAATGCATTTTCAACACTACTGACTCATCACCCTTCCAGACTGGTAGTAGATTTACTAAAGCTCTGGAGCTTCAAAGGGCTCTCATACAGGTATCATAAACACACCTTCAAGGAATATAGCATGCACTCACTTACAGTCAGCACAACAAAACCATTGGCTGTAAACACACTCATAGCCAAGATTTGCAGAGGGGTCTTCCAATCTCCACCATTTACAGCATGGCACCAAACACACACATTGGTATTGTCACAAGGAATCTTCCCTTAAACAAAGACTAACCATGGACTTATTGGTAACACACACCTCCGCTACCCCAAGTCTCAACTCCCTCATACCCTCCGAGGATTTTTCTTACTATACAACACCATTGATCTACCTTTACAGCTATCACTCAAGCAAGGGTTGAAGCTTGATTAAGTAAAACCAATATCATCAACGCAGTAAACGGCTACCATCTACCCTACACACTGGCACATGGCATAAATTGGGCAATCCTTTCCCCGCTCAACTTTCGAGCTACAGATTAGCCTACTATCGATATTCGCAGATACTCTGTGCTGGTTATGATAACATATCCAGAGGCCTTACAGTAATACACTATCTAGAAGACTTCTTGTTAATCAAAGAAAGCATATTTTTCACTAGAAGCCTCACGGCAGCTTAGTCTGGTTGACCACTTGGGCGTCCCAGTACCCCATAAGAAACAGAAGGCCCAGACACTATCTTCACATTACTGGGCATATGACTTGAGTCGGCATCCATACACGCAAGTTACCACAAGACAAATAGGGAACATTCTCAACTACATCAATCACTGCCTCCTGCTTAGTACTTACAACTGCAAGGAACTACGATCCCTACCAGGTTCCTTAATTTTGCCATGCTTTCACATCCAGAGTACTTTCCCCTTTTTTCCACACTTCCAACATGACGATCAGAGGAGGTGCCTAGACACCTCAGCAACAGCAGACCTGCACATGGGGGGGGGATTTCTTAACCACTTGGCATGGTAAAAGCATGTTCCTTCCAGGATTGTCTGACACTTCTCCAACCAGATGGTCAGACGCAGCGTATACCACGGGTTTGGCAGCAATCTACCGGGAACAATTGCTTTGGGGCTGTTGGCCATGGCATCCAGGTTTGGAAATTTTTCCACCACTTCAGCCCCTTTGGGAGATCTACCCCATTGTAGCAGCTGCTGTGGCATGGGGTAAATCATGGTCAGGGTCATCAATCCGTTGTTACTCAGACAACTAAGCACATATCATATCATCAACAAACGCCACTACTCATCCATAAGTTCATGATGTTTCTGGGGAACTCACTTGGTTGGCCACTTATCACATTTCACTTTCATGTACCAGACGGGGGTATACATCCCTGCCGACAACTGTCTCATTTATATTCCAGGCATGTTCATCATACGCTTCCTACAGCCGCCCATACAGTCACGTCCACTCTTTCGTTCCAGAGACAAAATCATGGATTAGACATACTCATGCAGCATAGCATGCACTATCCCACCTAGCACTTTCGTCCCATACTTGTAGAACGCATAACACAGCTTTTCACCTGGCTTAAAGAATCTCATTGGAACACGACATAGCTCAACCTGTGTCACAAAATTTCTCCTAAGTTTTGCTTATTTTTGCCACCTTAAACTTAAACTATCTCATACACCATTAATTATATATTTTACAGGCATTCAACAACACATGATAACCTATGGCCAAAACTACCATAAACTTCATGCTATCATACCAGAAAAGAATATACTCAGAGGTTTTCAGGAATCCATTCCCCCACGTTCCTCTCAGAGATTACCAATAGCCATCCAACTGTTCATCCTTATCAGACCTATTAGATCTACAACCATTCAATTATACTACCAAGTCGGCCATTACCAGCCATGCACATTGCCTTTTATGCCTTTCTCAGGCCAGAGAATCCACTACCATCACCACCACTCAGACAGATCATTGTCTTCAACGATCCCACGTACGTAAACACATATATCATTACCTATTGGCTCTACCACATTCCGAAATGAGTCAACATGCACCAACAGTAGAGATAACATACTATCCTACCCACAACAAATGGTGCCCACTTTCGGTCCTAGATTCCTACCTTCAAAATCCTTTCAGGAATTAAATACTGTAATGCATTTAAGGAAATGTCTGGTTAATTTGTATATATTTGTTGACTGTATTAAATCTTTGATTATTCATTTTTGCCCTCTTTATTTACAGGCCTACCGTATCGTCGGTATCGGCACACCACAACCGACTTGCTCCCTTTACACTATCCTAAGCTTATGCTGGATCCTTACTCCATATACGGCTATTTTGCCCTTACACAAGTATTAAGGCAGTTTTGCCTGTATTTGTGGGAGGGGCTTAAATTAATTCACTCCCCTATATAAGGGACACCCCTTACCTGACTCATATCGCTTGAGGTCAGCATCAGAATGACCCTCCCACCCACTCCTCATTTCAACACTTTCTCTTTTCTTTCCATTTACTTTACTTTCTTACTCCTTGGTGGGCCCTCTTTATTTACAGGCCTACCGTATCGTCGGTATCGGCACACCACAACCGACTTGCTCCCTTTACACTATCCTAAGCTTATGCTGGATCCTTACTCCATATACGGCTATTTTGCCCCTTACACAAATATATATATATATATATATATATATATATATATATATATATATATATATATCGTAACTCATTAGTTTAATTACTCTAGTTCAGCTCTTTGACAATTATATTGAGCAAAAGGAACTTTTGTAGAGATATATATCTCTACTCTTCACCTCTCCTATTTTTAGGAGTTAGTCTGAACAGGATATATCAGACAGACTGGTCGTTCCACACTTCTTAGAACGAAAAGAAGTGTCTGTTTATAAGAGACAGACCAAGGTTTAGCACATTTATTTGTGTTTAAAGCAATGCCTATATTTATAGGCATATCACTAAATATGTCATAGCCTATACAGATGCATTGACACTCTGCTGTATAGTGTCACAAACCTAGAGAGCGATTAACTTGTAACAACTGATACATTTAACATCAGTTTGTATCTTTGGTTGTTACATTTTTTTGAAGTGTCCAAACGACTCTATAGTTACAATATATGTGATTTAAATTTGGACATTCTTTTATTAATCACTACCACTTATCTGTCTACTTTTATCTCTCTATATTCCCTTTTGGTATATGGAGGTCTCTTGAGAGTAATTATATTTGTTTTATATTAATATCACCTTTTTATTGTTTCGCTATTAAAAGTTATGTTTTGAATGTTTCCACGGCAGTGCTTTTCCTTCTTTCATTACAGGAAATACTTGATGCTTAAAACGACACTTAAAGGACCACTATAGTGCCAGGAAAACAAACTTGTTTTCCTGGCACAATAGGGTCTTTGGGTCCCCCCCCCACCCTCAGGGTCCCACTCATGCCGGGCTGAAGGGGGAGGAAGGGGTTAATCACTTACCTTTCTCCAGCGCCGGGCTCCCTCTGCGCTGGGGAACTCTCCTCCCTCTTCCGACGTCATCCGCCAAATGCGCAATTAATCAGTCCATAGGAAAGCATTTTTCAATGCTTTCCTATGGACGGCAGCATCTTCTCACTGTGAAAATCAGGTAAGTGTAACCCTCTTATTACAGGTTAAAGTGTGAGAGGACTTATATAGTTATGGGACTTTGGGACACCAGGACACTTAAATAGATAAAACCATTTCAGGGCCAGAGGACTGGGCATCTCATAGTCCCTGGTATATAAAAAGAAGTTAACCTCTTCTGGGGTTAATTACTTGGAAACTATAATATAGTCAACTCCTTCTGGGCCAGGAATGGAGGGATTAACCCTATTTAGGAACAATATCTGAGGGTTAAACACTTCTAAGGAGAACGATCTTATAGACTAGTGGTTTGGGCCTTGATTTTTGGTTTGTTTATTGAATGTGTAATATAGGTAACATTGTGGGTAATTCTTTCCTATGGACTGTTTGAATGCACGCACATTTCTCTCTGCTCGGGAGTCGAGGTCGGAGAGGTCACCAGCGCTGAATAAAGGTAAGTGGCTTAAGGGGTGTTAACGGGGGCCGTGAGGGTGGAGGGGACCTAAGGATTACAGTGTCAGGTGATCCTTTAAAAATATGGAATATGCAATAGATATTTCATATTCCTCTTTAATATAGTACGTGTAACAGAAATTCAAAGTTTGCAGATTTGTGGGGAGTGAAACACTTAAATTTAAGGAAAAGCACAAGTGTATCTGTTTGCTTGGTTTTTCGGATCAAAAATCATCATTATACTCAAAGCCTGGAACTCTAAGTCACATCAGAGAATAGTTACGACCTGGTCAATCTTTAACATGCCATAACTTCGGCATGGGTTCTCTGATCAGGGTGCTATTTGGACAGTTTGGGCACGCAGAAGAGAGCTATCCAGGGATATATAATGTATGGGGGTGCGGTCCATGGAAATGGGGAATTTGGGTACATTTTAGGATAAATTTGTGAGGCACAGCAGGGAGTCAAGACCCCAGACAGACTGGCACCAGGGTGAGTCTTCTGTAAAAGCCATTGCATTGCATGTAGGAGTGTGTGAATCCACATTTCTGTATAAAAAGCTGTGTGTTCAATAAAGCTGCATTCTACTCACTATATTCAGTCTTGGCAAATGTGTGGGGAAAATGATCTATAATCGCTTCACAGGAGAAAGGGTCTCTAGACCTTTAATCACTGCAGAGAGCTATAACCACAGCAGCCTGGTCCACAGTGGCAGAGCTGCACAGAGACCCCAGTCAAGCTGCGGCTGTTGGGTCTGAAGTGCTCCAGGGTCCCTGATTGGAGCTAGGATGCAAGTTTGGCAGAGTTCGGGAGCTCCGTTACACCTAGATTGGAGCTGGGATGCAAGTTTGGCGGAGTTCAGGAGCTCCGTTAAACCTAGAATATCAAAAGAAAGTTTGGATTCGCTCAACCTTTTTTTTCTGTGGGAAGTGAGGGATGCGATTTCGAATCTAAAAACGGGGACATCACCAGGTCCTGACGGATATACAGTTTTATTTTATAAAATTGCGGACTCTCTGATTCCCCTGCAGTTGGTTAGGTCGTGTAACTATGGGGGAAAGAGGGGCCATTCCAGAAGAGATGCTGCAGGCTTTAACTGATCCTAGTCTTATTTAAAATGATAGATTAATTTCCTTCATTAATTTAGATATTAAAATATTTTTAAAAATATTGTCCGACAAACTGAAATGAATAATGCCAAATCGAATTCATCCAGATAAATCTGGGTTTATCCTGGGTAGATTTTGGGAAGATAATTCTAATAAGTTAATAGATTTGATCTTGGTGACACAACAAAATGTTGCCCCACCTGTCTTCTTGGCATTAGATGCTGAGAGGGCCTTTGACAGGGTTAACTTGGTCTTTTTATCCGAGACTTTAGAAGCATTTCAGAATTAGTTTTTTTTTTTTTAGCAACTCTTTAGCTGTGTATAGTAATGCAATGGCTTTTACATTAGTCTCACCAAGGTAACTGGATCCTCTTTAAATTCAATTTAAATTTTTTTCAGAATACATAACTGTAGCGGAGCTCCAATACTTCAAGTGGGTTTCTCTGCTGATGTCCTCTCGGGTTGGAAGAAATGCTGCCGTAAAGATTATAGCCCACCTCCCCAAGCACTAGACGACACTTAGTAAAGGAGAGAACAACAACCTTTATTAAAACAAAACATCTATTTATACCCCCAACAACCTAATTTACTTACAATAGGCTTAAAGTAGAAAGAACCAATCACACTACATATCCTAAGCCAACCAATAGTACAATAGTAATATTGATTTTGGATAGCAGCCAATCACACTACAAAGCCCTGTATTTACCAGGAAGGGTTTGGGCAAACAATAACAAGGGCTGAGGGCCACATAATAGATTTAAAGGAGTGGCTGGGCAGCAAGTTTGAACTGGTCTGGAAGTGTCTCTGAAACCACAGGACAACTCCCTAATGGGAGAACAATAAGACCGGAAAAGGGGAGAGGGGGAAACGCACATACAAATTGGACAATCAATACATGCAATTTAGTACATAGTATCAAAACATATGGGGAAACATTTAGGCATTCATAACAACACAGCATAAAATAGCAGACCATGGGTCTCTGGGCCATGGGAATTTCAAGGCTCAATAACGATACACTTTATATCGATGATATTTTACTTACTCTTTTTTCTCCTGAAACCTAGATCTCTGCAGTATTTACAGCTATTGGGGAATACAGTTTAAACTCAAGTTATAAGTTTAATTTACCCAAGTCTGGAGTTATCTCAAATGGTCTGACCCCACTCCAAAAACTAAATATTTCAAATACATTTCATTTTAAATGAAATCAAGACTGGATTGAGTATCTGGGTGCTCAGATAACATTTGACCTTAATCACATTTTCTTAGATAATTATCATCTACTCTTGGAAGATCTAAACATGCAGGACAATAAGATGAAAAACTATGCTTCGTGGTTGGGCAGGATCAGCATGGTCAAAGCCTATTCAGTTCCTAAGATTATCTACCTGTTCAGAATGATTCCAATTCGTGTTTCAGGATCACTCTAGATAAATTAAATAAAAACTAATTTATTTTATTTGGAAAGTCAAGAAATCTAGAATTACACAAAATACAATTAAGATTTACTTCATGAAGTGACAATGTTTACTCATATTTGGCTTGGGATCTTTCAAAGAACAGAAACATGGGTTGGTTTCATTGAGAGAGTATTTCGTTCGGAGTTGAAATCCCTTTGACCTATTTAGGATTAAACCCTTTTTAATTATTAGCCTTGTAAATTTAAATAATCCAGTTTTGAGAGATGCATTAAAAACCGGCGCAAAGATCAGGGCAAGGATGGGTATTAAGGAGTTTTTTTTTTACCCCCACTTTACCCATATTAAGGTACATAAAATGTATTTACAGGATTCGGATTTATCTAGATGGACTAGAATGGGTAAATATACATAAGCAGATTTCAAATTAAATACTGGTATCTTGCCATTAATAATTCTCGTTATCTCTTTAACCAAACTTGACGACTATCGGAAAACATAATAAATTATTCCAGATTATACAAATAATAAATAATCAACATTCTTCTACAATTGGGAAGTGGGAAAGTGAATTTGAGTTTGTATTTCCCATCCAGAAATGGTGAGAAACTTGGTTAGAAGTTAAAATATGTGTATTCTGCTAATTTACAGGAAACATTTTAGAAGTTATTGCATCATTGGTACATGGTCCCTTCATTATATTCATGGTATTTGTATGTTCTATAATTGCTGTTGGAGATCTCAAGGAACCCTGTGCCATATTTGGTGTGATTGGCCAAAACTGCACTGGATTAAAGATGGAACTGTGAGAGTACTCTCAAATATTATTCATTAAAAAAAAAAAAAATTCTTTAAAACCGCACTTATGGATTTTTTTACTTGGAGTTTTTACTTGGAGCTTACCGTTTTATCCTAAGATGGATAAAAACTGTAAATACTTAGTTACTAATATCTTATAAGCTATAACAATCTGTACAGACAGAGAATGGTGTAGATTGAATCCCCAGTTAAGCAAATTTCACATCAAGGAAAAATGGAACGTCACTCCTATGCCAGGAACGGTAGTTTGCCCATCTATAATAAGATCTGCAAACCATGGTATGATTATATTTCTGATATTTAAATTCCTGATAGGATAATGCTTCTCTCAATATTAAGTCCGCCTTAACTCGATCGACCCAACTTTTAATGCTCCACTATTTTTGGGTTTGGAAGTTTGTACGTATATATGGATGTACGCATGTGTACATTTATGTGTATATCAATGTATGAATAATAGCTTCTTTATTTTTTAAATTCTGTTTCTTATTGTTACTACGTTTTGGATCATGTCTATATATGAATTCGCATGTGTTTAATCTTAGTAATATTTATTTTTCTTATAAATTATTTAATATATAAAGCAAAAAAACAAAACAAAAAAAAAAGAGAGTAATGCTAGTAGCTAGCCATATAAACTGAAGGTGGAGGAGCTATACGGCAATGCCTTCATCTGGCATGGTGATCAGGCCCTACCCCATTAAGTACACATTTTTCATATTTGTGCTAGTTTATATAGTTTAACAAGCATTGTGTTTTATTTATTTATTTATATACTCACTCTCTCTTTTAAAAAACTATATTTTTTTCCATTTGAGCTAGATTTGTATTGTGAATTCTTTCATGAGAATTAAGGTAGCTTTTCTGAGCAAAATATTTCTCACATTCAGAAAATGAAAATGGTTTCTCTTATATGTGACTCATCACATGTTTATCAAGACATCTTTTATCCCTGAAACATTTTGGACATTCAGAACACGAAAATGGTTTCTCTCCTGTGTGAATCCTCATGTGTCTATCACGACATCTTTTATAAGAGAAATATTTCCCACATTCCGAACATGAAAATGGTTTCTCTCCTGTGTGAACTCTGAGATGTCTATTAAAGTTGCCTTTCTGACTGAAACATCTTCCACATTCTGAACATGAAAATGGTTTAATTCCTGTGTGAGTCCTGAAGTGAAGCTTAAGATGAGAAACGGTTTTAAAGCATTTCCCACATTCGGAACAAAAAAATTGTTGGTTTTCTCCACTGTGAACGAAATTACATTCGGGAAGAGATTTTGTCTGAATATGTGTTTCATGTTTGATACGGGAACATGATTTAGATATTTGGCGAGTATTGCAAAATCCGATAATGTGTGATTTTGATGGAAAACACTGATGTTCCTTGAAGTTTGTTTTACAGGTGAATGTTTCCCCACATTCAGAACAAGTCACTTTTTTCCCTTTACGGAATCTCTGATTTTTAGGACTATTAGAGTTATTGGTATCCATTTTGTATTGTCTCGCAGGATCACAAGCAGAGGCTTGAGTGTCCAGATCACTGAGATTTCCTTCTTTGCACGAGGCTGAACCCTCTGTAATAAGAGTAGACTCTGTGTCTGTGACATTTCCTTCTTCATATGAGGCTGGTTCATCCTTAATATGTGTAGATGTACACTGTGTACGTTTTTTTTGCGTAGTAACGTCAGTGTCTGTGAGATTCCCTTCTCCATACAATGGGGAATTCTTCCTAACAGAAATAGATGGATATTCACGCAAGGCTGGTTCCTCCTTAATATGAGTAGATAGATACCGTGTCTGATCCGTGGGTGTATAAATGTTAATGTGTGTGAGATTCCCTTCTTCACACAAGGCTGAATTCTCTGTAATAGGAGTAGACTCTGTAGATCTATAAAGGTCAGTTTCTGTGAGATTTCCTTCTTCACATAAGCCTGGACCTTCTTTAATATGAGTAGATGGATATTCTGTCTGTTCTGTGGGTGTATACAAGTCATTGTCTAGGATGTTTTCTTCTTTACATGAGACTCGATCCTCCTTAATGAGAGTAGATGGATATTCTGTGTGTACTGTGGATTTTGTTTGGGAACATTCTTTCAGTGAGTAAATCTCTCCATCTGGTAGATTTCTTTCTTCATATAAAGCTGTTTCAGATTTCACAGATTCACTTGGTCTCTTACTTAGTTCATTAAACGTCACAGAATTTCCTCCCTGATTAACTTTGACTCTACCTTCAGTCACATAATTTGCTGACAGAACATGGATGGGTAAATCATCCGCTTCACTTGTGTTTAGAGAGCCATTTGCTGGGAAGAAAACAAATAGAATTACAAACCTTCCTTTTACCTCATTGAGAGTTATGTATATACACTACAAGATATATGATGGTAAAATATTGAGTTATGGTGTTTTAAGGTAACTGGGTAAATATATTCAGAATCAGAACTTAGCCTACAGTCTATGACTGGGTAAGCGACCTTCGACACTCCAGATGTTGTGGACTACATCTTCCCAAATGATCTTACAGCCATGTCGGTCAATCATCAGTTGAGATGTAGTCCACAACATCTGCTGTACCAAAGAATGACAGCCCTTGGTCTATGAGATGAAAAATACAAGAAAATAAAACAAATTAAATTTTTTTGTTTAAATGTCTACACAGGATGAGTAAGTGAGATGCACAGTTATTCACTGTGTCCTTTTGAGTCAGATAATGTATCTACGTCTATAAATCTCTCACCACTGGTTTCTTTAAACAATTCACAATCCGTTTTCCTGACACTGCAGGTCCCCTCTCCCTCCCACACCCCCATCCCAAGTTGCTGAAGGGGTGAAAACCTCTTCAGTGACTTATCTGAGACCACTGCCGATGTCCCTGTGGTTCTGGGTCCGCACACGCTCCTCCCCCGCTGACGTCAGCCGGCGGGTTAGACCGACTGCGCATGTGCGGCCACCGGCGGGGGAGACTGTAGCAGACTGTATTGGGCTGTCTCTAAATATTCTTGTTACAATGTTATTTTTGTCTCATTTATACACTATACTGTATGAAGCATTCGTCTGGTTGTTCGATAAAACCGCTCCGTTCGACATACAAACAAACTACCGAACAACCAGACCACCCCAGAGAGAAGTGTGCCTCTAGTTTACCTCCCTCATTGGTATTAACACCAGCATAATGGGCAATTAATTATACGAAATATTGTGTGTTCCCTGGGTGGCCGCCGTTCGGCATACGAACACGTGGCGGCGGCCATCTTGTCATATGAATGCCCCGCGGTGTTTGGTCGTCGAGTGTCTGCAACCCAAATCGGACACTCTCCCACGCGAACACCGCTGAGACCTCCAGACTTCCATTCATTCATGCAGAAATCCGTTCTCTGTTCGGTAGAAGGAATCCCACGAACAAGGGGATTCATAGGAATCCAAAGTCTATTCAGCCCGGTCTATTTCATGTATTTTACCCCACGAACAGAGACCGACCGCAAGGCCAAAATGTATGGAACTGATTTCGGCTACTACCTTGTGTGCGGTCGGTCAAACGAACACATGAATATAACTCCCGAACCCCTGGTCCGATCTGGGTGATTTTTGATTATGTTGCTCACCAAGATTATTATTATTATGATATTTATAGAGCGCCATCAAATTCCGCAGTGCTTTACAATGGGTGGACGAACAGACATGTTGTTGTAACCAGACAAGTTGGACACACAGGAACAGAGGGGTTGAGGGCCCTGCTCAATGAGCTTAGATCAGATCAGGGCTACCAGGGGATGTAAGATTTAGGGGTGTATCCCATGTATTTGGGGTACATCTAGAAAACTGGGAAAAGTATGTACTGAATATTTGGATTTTCGGTCAGGCTGAGGGGAGGAGATGTGTGAGTTGTAACTTGTGTATGATTGGTCACTGTATAATTTTCTGTGTGTGTCACCCTTGCATGGGAGAGATGCATAAAAGCAGGGTATGTGGAATAAAACAGCAGTTCTGCTCGTGATAGTGTGTGTCGTCCAGTTATTGGGAAAAAGGTGATGGGATATTCCTGGATTATTTTATTTAACACTGATGCTGTTTATCCTGGGTTAACTTCTTGTTCCTGCATTATTATTGGAATACCAGCGGAGAAGTTTATGGCAAACTAGTGCTCCGCTACAGAGACCTAATACGCATGCGCGGCAATGTCGCGCACTAGACCTCCACATAGCGTGATTACGTCCAGCGACACTATAGCACAGAAAACCTGTGCTATGGACCAGGAAGTGCCCTCTAGTGGAGGAGGAGTTAACCCTGCAAGGTAATTATTGCAGTTTATAAAAACTGCAATAATTACAGTTGCATGGTTAAGGGTAGTGGGAGTTGGCACTCAGACCACTCCAATGGGCAAAAGTGGTCTGGATGCCTGGAGTGTCCCTTTAATGGTGTCAACGAATGGATACAATCTATCTTCCCTCACCATGGGTCAGTGTTTATTACTGGATATAAATATCACAACAGTGCTCTGTGTAAAAAAAAAAAAAAAGATGCCTAATATGGGTCAGTCCAAAATGAATAGATCACTACAACACTATTGTGGGCATCTCGCTCACCCACCAATAAAGCACGCAGAACAAAAAAAAAAAAAAAAGGTTTTGTGACAGCCTGTCACTTCCTCCCAGCTATAGGGAGAGAGGCCGCAATGGAGAGGAAGCACAGGGAGCAATGAATGTGCTGATGCCCACACATCAGTCTCAGCAAGCAGCACATCTAGCAAGTCAGCCTCCGACAGACAAAAGGTAAGCAAACTGCAGGGTGGCTGTAAATATAAAAATTATGACATGTGTATGTTCATATCAGTGTGTGTGTCACTGTGTGTGTCAGTGTATCCGAGTTTGTGTGTGTGTGTGTGTACCAGTATGTATCTGTGTGTCAGGGTGTGCCAGTGTGTGCATCTGTGTGTAGCTGAGTGTGCGTCAGTCTGTGTATATTTGTGTATCTGTGTGTTAATGTGTATGTATATCTGTGTATTTATGTACAGTAATTTACAAAAGTGAGTACACCCCTCACATTTTTGTAAATATTTGATTATATGTTTTCATGTGACAACACTGGAGAAGTGACACTCTGCTACAAGGTAAAGTAGTAAGTGTACATCCTGTATAACAGTGTAAATTTGCTGTCCCCTCAAAATATCTCCACACACAGCCATTAATAAAAAAGTGAATGTGAAGTCGCTACTGTGGCGAAACTGACCTCGCCACGTGTCCTTGGAGGGGGCTGCTTGCCCACCTCTTGCCTTTGGACTATGGACCAGACTTTAAGGGAATGTGTTAACCCAGATAGCTATGCCATGGAGCCCATTCGTGTAGTTAAAGACTTCGGCTCCATGGCAATTGAACTGTGTGAATAGGATCTGAGCGCTATTCGGTAGTTTTGTGCGCTCAGATCCCAGCTATCTGGGGATATGTGAAATGTCTGTGTTATGTGTAAAAGGTGACTTTATGTATTTTAAAGTGTTTTATGTCTTTTTGCAACCATGTGCTCAATGGAGTCTGCCTCTATCCCTGGATAATTGGATTACTTTCCCCCATTGTCTCCAGGATAGATGGCTTTGTAAAACCTGTTTGAGCCAGATAGCCATGTTCCACCCAGGGCCCAAAAGATAATTTTACTAACTTTTGAACCCCTGGTCGGATTCATGCCATTTTCTTTAATATGTTGTTCCCCTGAATGGATTGATTGTGAATGTGTAATTTTTATGTGAATGTGATGTATAGTTTTAAAGTTATGAAAGTTGGGTAGAAAGTATGTTTTAACTGTATGTGTAATTGAGTTTCCTCTCAGGATAAGGGGAGGGAATATGTGGGATGTAACTGATATGTGATTGGTTGTTTTATATCTCCCTGTGGGCGGTCCTGTATGTGAAAGGCTGTAATAAAAACCAGTCTGGGTGTGCCAGCACAAGAGTTCCTGTTTTAACCCTCAAAGTGAAGTGTCGTCTCATTATTGGGGGAAGGATTTATTGTATGCTGTTCCAGTTTGACTGCTAGGAGAGTAAACCTATTCGTATGGTTCCTATTCAACTGTCTACAGCATTCATATGCTTGGGAGAATGTATTTGTTTCTCCGGTTCGGTGATTGTGGTGTCTGCCAGAGTGCTTGGAGTCCTCAGGAAGCGCTAGGAACATCCTTCAACGGAGGCACCCAGTCGGGGTGCCAGGCGATCCGTTACATTGGTGGCAGCGGTGGGATGGCGTCCTAGTGCGAGGTAAAGCAGCTCATAGACACAGTTCATTTGGAGTTACAAAGTGAGGGCAACGCTAGTATCCGTACATCGCCCCTATCTACAAAGGAACCAATGGCGGCAGAGCAAGCATGGCGCCTGGCTACACTCAGGAGCGGTTTGACAGAGAGGTTGCCATGCGGTTGGCTTTCTTTGGACCCAACCCCGCTGAGGAATACATACAGTTCGTGAGGAAATTAACAGCAGAGTACCAGCAGTTCATGGCAGATCCATCCAAAGGTATCGGCCGCCCTATCCGGAGGCAGAGTGCGTTACGGGGACTCAAAGGTGTACCCCAGGGAGCTGAAGATGTCGTCCTTCCTCCCCAGCGGCAGTGTGTACCCCAGGGAGCAGAAGATGTTGTCCTTCCTCCCCAGCCGCAGTGCGAGTCCCAGGGAGCCAAAGGTGTCGTCCTTCCTCCCCAGCGGCAGTGTGAGTCCCAGGGAGCAGAAGGTGTTGTCCTTCCTCCCCAGTGGCAGTATGTATCCCAGGGAGCTGAAGGTGTCGTCCTTCCTCCCCAGCGGCAGTGTGTACCCCAGGGAGCAGAAGGTGCTGTCCTTCCTCCCCAGCGGCAGTGTGTACCCCAGGGAGCAGAAGGTGCTGTCCTTCCTCCCCAGCGGCATTATGTGTCCCAGGGAGCAGAAGGTGCCGTCCTTCCTCCCCAGCGGCAAAGGTGTCGTCCTTCCTCCCCAGCGGCAGTGTGTACCCCAGGGAGCTGAAGGTGCCGTCCTTCCTCCCCAGCGGCAGTGTGTACCCCAGGAAGCAGAGACCGTCTGTCTCGCACCCCAGCCGCAGGACAAAATATTGAAAGGGGAGACAGTTGGTCCCCCTCTCCACCAGCAAAGAGAGTGTCAGGGAGAGGAGCAGGTTACCCCCTCTCCCCAGCGGCAGTCTACAGTTCAGAGAGAGGAGCTTGTTACACCCTCTCTCCAGCGGCAGCCTAACCCACCAAGGGGAGATGTTAAGCCCCACAACTATGCAGATGGGACCGTAGTCTCTGCACTTGCAGCACCAGGGGTAGGGACGGTCGGTCCTGTCCCCCAGCCACAGAGCAGTGTATCCAGAGGGGAGACAGTCGGTCTCCCCCTCCCACAACCAGGCTACTTCAGTGGTAGCGCTGGCACCCGGGTAGAGTACCGCTGGTCTCTGCCCACTCAGCAACCCACCAAGGCAGTCTACCAGCCCCCCGCACAGCCGTGGTGAGGCACCTGGACATGGACAAGTTGCTATTTTATCCAGGTGTAGTAACCAGTTATTGTGGGTGAGCTGTATTGCTGTTTGTGCTTCGTGGGTGGGTTGCTGGACTAACCAGGGCACCTCTTGCCTTTGGACTATGGACCAGACTTTATGTGAATGTGTTAACCCAGATAGCTATGCCATGGAGCCCATTCGTGTAGTTAAAGACTTCGGCTCCATGGCAATTGAACTGTGTGAATAGGATCTGAGCGCTATTCGGTAGTTTTGTGCGCTCAGATCCCAGCTATCTGGGGATATGTGAAATGTCTGTGTGTTATGTGTAAAAGGTGACTTTATGTATTTTAAAGTGTTTTATGTCTTTTTGCAACCATGTGCTCAATGGAGTCTGCCTCTATCTCTGGATAATTGGATTACTTTCCCCCATTGTCTCCAGGATAGAGGGCTCTGTAAAACCTGTTTGAGCCAGATAACCATGTGCCAGCCAGGGCCCAAAAGATAATTTTACTAACTTTTGAACCCCTGGTCGGATTCATGCCATTTTTTTTATATGTTGTTCCCCTGAATGGATTGATTGTGAATATGTTTTTATGTGAATGTGATGTATAGTTTTAAAGTTATGAAAGTTGGGTAGAAAGTATGTTTTAACTGTATGTGTAATTGAGTTTCCTCTCAGGATAAGGGGAGGGAATATGTGGGATGTAACTGATATGTGATTGGTTGTTTTATACCTCCCTGTGGGCGGTCCTGTATGTGAAAGGCTGTAATAAAAACCAGGCTGGGTGTGCCAGCACAAGAGTTCCTGTTTTAACCCTCAAAGTGAAGTGTCGTCTCATTATTGGGGGAAGGATTTATTGTATGCTGTTCCAGTTTGACTGCTAGGAGAGTAAACCTATTTGTATGGTTCCTATTCAACTGTCTACAGCATTCATATGCTCGGGAGAATTTATTTGTTTCTCCGGTTCGGTGATTGTGGTGTCTACCAGAGTGCTTGGAGTCCTCAGGAAGCGCTAGGAGCATCCTTCAACGGAGGTACCCAGTCGGGGTGCCAGGCGATCCGTTACAGCTACCAAATAGAGACACAAATAAGAGGTGTAGTAAAAGTGTATCCCACAACACTTAAAAATATTAATAACACAGAATTTTTTTTTTTATATACTACACCAAACAGCAGAAAATAGATGTTCATAAAACCAGAACAATCTAAAAAACAAAGGTACAATACATAGTGCAGAGTAGGGATTGACCGATATTGATTTTTTTTTAGAGCAGATACCGATAATCTGTGAACTTTCAGGTCATAGTCGATAACTTACCGATACTGAGAAATGCTTTCCTATGGGCGTTTTTAATGCGCTCGCGGCTCTGGCCGTGCATTCGGCACCACTCGGGAGCTGACGTCAGAAGGGGAGGAGAGGTCACCAGCGCCGAGGGAGCCCGGCGCTGGATAAAGGTAAGTGGCTAAAGGGGTTTTAAACCCTTCAGCCCTGAGGGAGACGGGATGTAGCAGAGTAGCAGGGGTTAATCCAAGAGCTCTCCGCTCGGAACAATGTTTCAGCATACAAGAATACAGGAACACAGCATAATCCCCTTCCCCAAGGACTAGACGACACATAGTCCGGGAGTCAACTGAGGTCTTTATTTACAGTTCTGCTTTTATGCATTTGTCCTATGCAAGGGAGGTAACTTCCATAATTATTACAGTATCCAATCACATAGTGGTTACCTCCCCTACATCTCCTCCCCTTAGATTAACAGTTAACATTATTAATAGGTACACAGTTTTCCCCAATTCGTGGATGTACCCTAAATACAGGAGGTACACCTTTGAATGAGGGGTCCCCTGGTAGCCCTGATCTGGGTGAGCAACATACTCAAAATTCACTCAGATCGGACCAGGGGTTCGGGAGTTATTGCAGGAGAAAGATTTGACCGACCGCACGGGCAGAGTAGCTGAAAATAGTTCCATAAATTCTGGCCCTGCGGTCGGTCTCTCTTCGTGAATAAAAAGTCCCGAAAGTCTATGGTATCCAGGCTTCACTTATCATTCGGATGAATCCCCTAGTTCGTGGGATTCCACATACCGAATGCTGTGGGGTTCGGGTGGTTCATTCGTTACTTTTAGGCGTGCTGGAGGTCTTAGCGGTACTTGGTTAGTCGAATGCCCGATTTGAGTTCCAGGCGTTCGACGACCAAGTACCGCTGTTCGTGCGTAAGATGGCCGCTGCCACGTGTTCGGTAGGCGAAATGGCGGCCGCACACGACCTCTCAATTAGCACCCTTTGCAACATTGTTAATAAGGGGACACACCGGGGTGGTCCCTCATTCGGTAGTTTACTGGTGTTCACATAAACTGCAGTGTAGAAAGTTCGTGAACAGAATCTCTGATAATTCCTGCCTTAGCAAACATACGGCCATTATAATCCAAGCGTTCATTCGCATAGAAAAGTCAGTCTTTTAGTGGCATGGTTTGCCACACGAGGACCTAAGGATTATATAGTGTCAGGAAAAAAAGGTTGTTTTCCTGATACTATAGTGATCCTTTAAGGAAATTCACAAACAATTGGGAGATTTACACACCTATAAAAAAATTGGACTGGGACCCATCCAAATCCAATTTTGAAGATTATCAAGTTTTAATAGGAAAAGGAAAAAGTCCAAATATTTGAAATCTTGAGGAATATAATTTTCTTACAATAGCTGGTTTTAAGACCACAGTCTTTTATATTCTTCCCAATATACATAAAGATTCATATTTTATTCCCCTGGTTCGGCATTTTCAATTCATGCGCATAGAACCGACTGCTAGTATCCTGGCGGCCGTTCGCATTGACCAAAACCGCGAATAGATTTCAGGGGGACTTAGCCACAAAAGCCCCGGAACTATTTTCGGCATGAAGACTTAGTGGTTCCCAGTTGGTCCCCAGCGGCACTAACCCGGGATTCCACGTAACTATTTTTGGCTAGGGGACCATGCGTGCGGTCTGTCAAATTATGACCTCCAGGAAATTCCTGAACCGATCTTGGTGATTTTTGGATAGGTTGGTCACCCAGATTTGGGCTATCAGGGGATGTAACGTTTCTGTATTTTTAAGGTACTTCTGGGGTGTTTGGGAAATGTGTGTTTTTTGTGCTTTGAGATAATGGAGTTTAATACAGTGCTTGACTCAATTATCTCCCAGGCACAGGGGAGAGATTATTTTGTTTTGTATGGGAGTGTTCTGGACCGGAGAGCCAATGTGCGTTTGTTTTTACTGTAATCTACTCTCAGGTCCGGGGGGGGAGTGCCCCTTGCATGGGGACCTGCACATGAGGACAGTTGTGGCTGCCATTAAACGTGGTTACTGGGAGGGGAAAGGGTTATTCTTTAATCACTGTTCCAGTGTGAAGGATTCAACGGTGAAAGTCATTGTAAGGACTAGAGCTCCCAGGACTGAGTATCGACCAGTGCCTGGGGTTTGCTAGAGAAAGTTCCCCATTCAGCTCCAGGAGGGAGCAGTTCCAGGGCCCCAGTCAAGTCAAGGTGACTGATGGCAAGAGTGCTGAGATTTGTCCCCCGTTCCAGCTAGGAAGCGGTCCTTTGGCAGAAGTACCCAGTCAGGGTGCAGGGAGCTCCAATACAGGGATAAACCTAATGTAATTTATCGAGGCGCTAGGAACATTAAAAGTGATTTAGTTAGGAGTTTTATTAAAGCGGTTAAGACCAGTTTCTCTTAATTAAAGAAATGTTTTTTACCCTTGTAAAATGCGTCCAAATTGTAAAAATTCTAGTTTAACCAAAGATACCAGAACTTTTTTTAAATCCAAGGTAACTGGACAGAGATTTGATATTAAAAGCATCCTTACTTGTTGTAACGGACCGTTTTGCCCACATGCGGTTAAAAACCGTTTAGGCGATATTCCCCCTTTCTCAGCTGCACAGACAGCTACTGCAAGCACCAATCTCCCAAACTGGAAACCCACGAATTCACCAACTCCCGAACTGCAAACACACGAACACTGGAAACAGCCGAACTGGAGACACACGAATAGCTGTTAGCAGACGAACAGGAAAATCCCCCTGTGGCAAACCTAGCCACTTGGACTAAACAGAGACAATATGTTTTTAAGGGTTGCCTGTATATTTACTACCATTGTATATGTGCCTGGTTGTAATCTGCTGTATCCTGTATGCTGTATTGCATGTATTAGCTATCTGCCGAAAGCAGATAGTCATTTTCTATTTCGTTTCACGAACAGCACCTTTGCGGGCCGTTCGTGAACCGAATGAACTATCTTTCAATAGTCCACACACTAAGGGACGTGTGGCGCTTGTTAACCGATTGCAACAATGTTGCAATCGGTAATTAGAGGCTCTCCTAGGTGGCAGTCGTTCGGCTATCAACCACGCGGCGGTCGGCCATCTTGGATCCTTTGTTCCCCAGCGGTGTTTGGTGGTCCAGCGCATGGAACTGAAAACGGCTACTCGACTGCGCGAACACCGCTGGGCTTCCAGACTGTTCGGGAGTCCCGGGTCGTTCGGTCCACCTCTATCAATCTGTACTTTTAACCTGTGTTATAAATAATGTGTTTTTCGTGCGGCGTTCGGTTATTTTAGCTGGGATCTGAGCGGTATTCTTACGAACTGTGTGCTCAGACCCCAGCTATCTACCAAACGTCCATTCGTGTAAATCGACCAAGTATTAAGGAAGTTATACATTTTAAAGTAAATTGCTGGTTCTGCTGCACGGAGGGATAATCCACCTAACGGTATATTCCAGTGGGAGTATCCCTCTCGTGCAGCAGTGCCTGATGGGAGAAATGCCCAGAATGTTAAGTCCCCCATGTAGTCCCCTACTGTGTTACCCCTGCTAAGTCAGTATGGAAACCCCTTGTATGGGGACTTGCATAAATACTGGAGCTGCAAATAAAGACCTCAGTTGACTCCCAGAACTGTGTTTCGTCCGGTTACTGGGGATTTGGGATATTGCCTTGCTTTTTCAGCGCTTGACTGTGGATTACTGTATGTACCAGCGGAATTCGTGGGATTTAATATTGCCGATCCGCTACACCCCCAAGCGGCTTACACTCCTGGCAATCAGTCTCTAACGGCATACAGTAAATCCCCCCCAAAGACGAGACAACACTTCGTTTTGAGGGTCAAGCAGAATCTGGTTTACTGGGGCTAACTGCCCGGCTTTTATGCAGGTCTCCCACCTGGTGGACACTCCCCCAGGGGACCAAATGGGAAACTGGGACACATATTGGCTCTTAGCCAATCACATACATACACCTTTAAACACTCCCACAATTACATCACAATTGGGAGATTAACACACCTATAAAAAAAATTGGACTGGGACCCATCCAAATCCAATTTTGAAGATTATCAAGTTTTAATAGGAAAAGGAAAAAGTCCAAATATTTGAAATCTTGAGGAATATAATTTTCTTACAATAGCTGGTTTTAAGACCACAGTCTATTTATTGTCCTGGAGATAATTGGGAAGTAATCCAATTATCTCCCAGGACAGAGGCAAAACTCCATTAACCACATGGCAGTAACAATACAGTAAAAGACATAAAATTACATACAGTCACATTTACTACCTAACACATATACATTCTACATATCCTCAGATAGCTTAGATCTGAGTGCACATTAGTACCGAATGGCGCTCAGATCACATACATACAGTTCAATCGCCATGGAGCCAAAGTCTTTCCCATAGTCTTTCGTTACACGAATAGGCTCCATGGCTTAACTATCTGGGGGATGCTGTTCATCCGGCGAAACTACCGAATGAACAGTCATTCGGTTCTACTTACCGAATGGGAAGGTAAGGAGGCTGGCGGCTCAGCGGTGTTCGTGCCAATAAGTGTCCGTTTTCAGTTCCATAGTTTGGGTGCTGAACACCGCTGGCCGTTCGGGAGGTAAAATGGCCGCTGCCATGTGTTCGGCAGACGAACAAAGGCCACCCAGAGTTCATCAATTAAGCTGCGGTTAACCGCAGCTTCTGGGCGGTCAATTGATGGCACACTCCAGCTCCCAGGTGGTTCAGTAGATGGAATCTACCGAACACCCTGGCAGAAAGGCACGAATAAACCATTCAGCAGGGAAAATAACAGGTCTGAACTGCAGGGCCATAGTCTAAAGGGAGCAGGCGAGCAACCAGGCTTCTACAGTGCATAGTGGCGACTTTTGTTTTACTTTGCCCTTTCTTCATTGACGAAAACACGGAAGTGACGTCATTACAGCCGCATCATGTGGCGGTCAAGGCAGGATGATGCAAGTATGCGATGACGGAAAGTACTGTGCATTGCTTTGTATGGATGTCCCCCTGCAGGGAAAGTCAGCACTGTTCTGTATAAATAGCTGTGTACTGTGCATTGCTTTGTATGGATGTCCCCCACAGGGAAAGTCAGCACTGTTCTGTATAAATAGCTGTGTACTGTGCATTGCTTTGTATGGATGTCCCCTGCAGGGAAAGTCAGCACTGTTCTGTATAAATAGCTGTGTACTGTGCATTGCTTTGTATGGATGTCCCCCTGCAGGGAAAGTCAGCACTGTTCTGTATAAATAGCTGTGTACTGTGCATTGCTTTGTATGGATGTCCCCCTGCAGGGAAAGTCAGCACTGTTCTGTATAAATAGCTGTGTACTGTGCATTGCTTTGTATGGATGTTCCCTACAGGGAAAGTCAGCACTGTTCTGTATAAATAGCTGTGTACTGTGCATTGCTTTGTATGGATGTCCCCTGCAGGGAAAGTCAGCGCTGTTCTGTATAAATAGCTGTGTACTGTGCATTGCTTTGTATGGATGCCCCCCTGCAGGGAAAGTCAGCACTGTTCTGTATAAATAGCTGTGTACTGTGCATTGCTTTGTATGGATGTCCCCTGCAGGGAAAGTCAGCACTGTTCTGTATAAATAGCTGTGTACTGTGCATTGCTTTGTATGGATGTTCCCTGCAGGGAAAGTCAGCACTGTTCTGTATAAATAGCTGTGTACTGTGCATTGCTTTGTATGGATGTCCCCTGCAGGGAAAGTCAGCACTGTTCTGTATAAATAGCTGTGTACTGTGCATTGCTTTGTATGGATGTCCCCCTGCAGGGAAAGTCAGCACTGTTCTGTATAAATAGCTGTGTACTGTGCATTGCTTTGTATGGATGTCCCCCTGCAGGGAAAGTCAGCACTGTTCTGTATAAATAGCTGTGTACTGTGCATTGCTTTGTATGGATGTCCCCTGCAGGGAAAGTCAGCACTGTTCTGTATAAATAGCTGTGTACTGTGCATTGCTTTGTATGGATGTCCCCCTGCAGGGAAAGTCAGCACTGTTCTGTATAAATAGCTGTGTACTGTGCATTGCTTTGTATGGATGTCCCCCTACAGGGAAAGTCAGCACTGTTCTGTATAAATAGCTGTGTACTGTGCATTGCTTTGTATGGATGTCCCCTGCAGGGAAAGTCAGCACTGTTCTGTATAAATAGCTGTGTACTGTGCATTGCTTTGTATGGATGTCCCCTGCAAGGAAAGTCAGCACTGTTCTGTATAAATAGCTGTGTACTGTGCATTGCTTTGTATGGATGTCCCCCTGCAGGATGAGTCAGCACTGTTCTGTATAAATACCTGTGTGCTGTGCATTAAAATCATTCTACCCCCTCATTTCCGTTTGTCTAATGTATTGTGGAAAAGCTGTATTCTCTGCTTTACAAGGGAGAAGGTCTGATCTATAATCATTGCAGCCTGTGGAAGAATCCCCAGTCAAGCTTCAGCAACTGGTTATGAAGAGCTTCAGAGTCTCTGACAGCAGCTAGGAAGCTGACCTGGTAAAGTACAGGAGCTCTGTCACATTTGGTGGGATGGGTACCTAGCTATTGGGCAAGCATCCAAACTACCACCCCTGCACATCGTCTGGAAATTAATCGACAGGGTTAAGCAGCAATGTAAATACTGCCTTTTCTCTGAAAAGGCAAAGTTTACAATTGAAAATCTGCAGGTACAGGCTATAGACACCAGAACGACGACATTAAGCTGTGGTGGTTCTGGTGTCTATAGTGTCCCTTAAGAATTGCATTTTTCTCATTAAAAATCAAACTTAAAATTTGCTTTGAAAAAACTGGCTCCTAACTTTTTTAGCAGGCTCCTAGATTCCAAACAAATTTGTCAAGCCCTCCATTAAACTGTAGTTGTTCTAGTAACTATAGTGTCCTTTTAAGACAAAATCCTAAACAAGGACAAAATATTAGGTAGCTAGTAAAGACGATTGAAGAAATTGTACAGGAATTCCAGCGAGAATCTTTTATGTCTATAGAGAAAGGAAAGACAGAATGATATCAAATGAAAGGAATAAAAGAGAAGCCTTCATTTAAACCATTTGGTGTCAATGTTTTCAATTTATAGATCCAGAAGGATTCCCTACATCATAAGTAACTCCCAGTCCCCTTTCCAAGGGGATTTCTTTGGTTCAGCCTCCATGGGAATCTCTTATATGTCTGGAGATTGGAGTGTTGATTGTCTGTTTTACTGAATTAATGTGTTCTCTAATTTGTAATTTAAACATTCTGAACGTTTTCTAGCTAGGAAACTGACCTGGTGGAGGTACTCAGTCGGGAAAACGAGAGCAACGTCACATACATGCAATCAGGCTCGGATTTAAAATCAAAAATACAACAAACTGACAATGTACAGTGATCTCACGCTATACTGGGGTTTGATTACTATACTGACCTCATACTGGACATTTGAAGCTAGGGATTCAATTACATATATAGTTATAACACAAGCTGTGTACACGCTGTTCCAAATTATTATGCAAATCCTATTTAAGTGTCACAAAGATTAAATATTTTGTTTTTCAGTTTAACTCATGGATGGCATTGTGTCTCAGGGCTCTTTTGATCACTGAAAACAATCTCTGACACCTGTGATAATTAGATTGCCAGGTGAGCCCAATTTAAGGAAGAACTACTAAAGGAGGGTGTTCCACATTATTAAGCAGAGCACCATTTTCATGCACTATGGGGAAGAAAAAGGACCCCCCTGCTGCCGAAAAGAGTGAAATAGTTCAATGCCTTGGACGAGGTATGAAAACATTAGATATGTCATGAAAACGTAATCGTGATCATCGCACTATTAAGAGATTTGTGGCTGATTCAGAGCACCGGAGGGATCGTGCAGATAAAGGCACATTGAGGAAGATTTCTGCCAGATCCATGCATCGGATCAAGAGAGCAGCTGTTAAAATACCATTACATAGCAGCAAACAGATATTTGAAGCTGCTGGTGCCTCTGGAGTCCCACGGACATCAAGTCCTCCAGAGTCTTGCAACTGTGCATAAACCTTCTATTAGGCCACCACTAACCAATGCTCACAAGCAGAAACAGCGGCATTGGGCATTCAGTGAATTTAACCAGCTGAAGAAGCCACCTGGCGAAACGCGTTCTGGAAAGAAAAGACTGGACTAAAGAAAGGAGAAGAAGGGAGAGGGTCGCCTATACGGATCCTAAAGCACCAAAATTCTGAGCTAGATTTATAGCTCAGAAAATTGTGAGTTGCCATTTGGCTTTTGTTTTAAATTAATTTTTGCATATTTACATACAATCTGCACTATGTTATGTATTTTTTTTTCTTTGTTTTACCTTAAGGTTAACAAGAAATAATTGACTAACATAGAAGAAAAATTGGGTAAAACTTTCTTTCATATTCAATTTTGCACATAAGCGCTACACCGGTACCACTTACTATTTTCTATCACTCTGTAAAAGATTTTCATGGTGGTTAGCAGCTGTTTAGATTATATATAATTTTAAGACTTTATACTCAAATAGCGCTTATACTTTCTTGTTTAGAAAAATACATGAAGACTAATTTTCAAACAGTCCTGTTCACTGATGAGTGCCGTGCAACTCTGGATGGTACAGATGGATGGAGTAGTGGATGGTTTGTGGACGGCCACCCTGTTCCAACAAGGCTGCAACGTCAGCAAGGCGGTGGTGGAGTCATGTTTTGGGCCGGAATCATGGGAAGAGAGCTGGTTGGCCCCTTTAGGGTCAACGAAGGTGTAACAATGACCTCTGCAAAGTATGTGGAGTTTCTGACTGACCACTTTCTTCCCTGGTACTGAAGGAAGAACTATGGTTTCCGTAATAAAATCATCTTCATGCATGACAATGCACCATCTCATGCTGCAAAGAATACCTCTGCATCAATGGCTGCTATGGGGTCCTATGTTAAAATGTAACGTGACCGGTTAAAATGTTTAAAAAGTTAAAATGTTGTAATAAGTTTGATTGAAATAACTTTTGATTTCAGTAAATATGCTGCAAACACAACAAATGACAATTTTCAGTTCTTTATAACCTATAAAGTGTTTTGAAACTTACTGTGCATAATAATTTGGAACAGAGCATTGCAAGTTTTTTATGTTTAAAAAAATACGGTTATCATTAGGAGGTTTGTTCAATAAATTTTGAATTGTACTCTTAATAGTTGATAACATGAGAATTATGCCCACTTTTATTTACATCAATTATTTAGGTAAATTACAAAAATATAATTTGCATAATAATTTGGAACAGGGTGTATATACAAAGTGCTTCCTCTTACCCAGTGCGCTGAGAGGCTGCTGAGTGTCCATCATTAAGTCATTGTAAGGTTCCTTGTGTCCTTCTAAATACTTCCACACCTACAAGGAAAATAAACAGTGACATCCTCACACCTAACAGGAACCTGGCACACACAATGATACACTCACCATCCAGTCACATCCTCACACCTAACAGGAACCTGGCACACACACAATGATACACTCACCATCCAGTCACATCCTCACACCTAACAGGAACCTGGCACACACAATGATACACTCACCATCCAGTCACATCCTCACACCTAACAGGAACCTGGCACACACAATGATACACTCACCATCCAGTCACATCCTCACACCTAACAGGAACCTGGCACACACAATGATACAGTCACCATCCAGCCACATCCTCACACCTAACAAGAACCTGGCACACACAATGATACAGTCACCATCCAGACACATCCCTTGGCTTTACTCTATGATGTCCCATTCCCAGCAGCCTCACCTCTACAGTTAGCAGGTGGATGATCTGATTGGTCAGTTTCAGGACCTTCTGCTCATTGTTTCCATCATGTATCAGTGAGTGAGGTGGAGGCACTGTGCTGCGGCTCTGGGTCCTTCTGGATCCATCTGACACACCAGGGATTCTGCCCTGTATTATGGACTCACCAGATCTCTTCATAACAATGTAATCCTATATAGAGAGAGGCATATTAATCAATATTAAGCAACTAATAAAAATACATATCTCTCAGTAAAGGATATTTATGACTTTCATATTCAGATGGGCTTACATCTAATGGCCATTTGAGTGGAACTAAAAACCTCTATATAAATATGCACACGGATTTGGAATAGTGCGCAAGAAACTTTTTCTTTGGCTCATATTCCATCTGTCCATAAAGGACAATATGCAAACTATCTTACAAAGCCAGTCACTACATAGGCTACTGTGGCGGATAGCCCAAATCCTCCCCGAAAGACTATAGCACTAACTGTTCCTTTACCCTCCACGTGGACCCAGCAAGCGCCTCTCTCTAACCACGTTTGCGGAATACCCACCAATTCGGAATGTTCCAAACACTTCAGCGTTTCCCTTGAACACTGGCTCGGCCACAATCACCACCTTGGTCACCAATGAAAACCTTCAATTCTGATTTCTTTCCCTTTTCCCAATGCGAGCACTCTTTGGAGGGAAACTACAAGACATCTAAAGGAACCATTTCTACCAGGGAGCCAGGGGGAGCCCCTCTTCCACAACTAACCAGAGTCCCTTTTAAATTACCGGCAAAAACCTATAACCGTCTGAAACAATTTTCGGCTTAGACCATGCTAGCGGTCAATCTAAAGTTTAACAGGGTGGCGTTTCTCCAAACGTCCACAGATCAGAGCGCTAGTCAGACAGATTTTGCGCTCCACTGAGGGCTATCAGGAGATATAAGACTTGTGGGGGTTCATAACCATTTCTGTGTGTTTTCTGGGTTTTTATGTATTTAGCTCTCTGTATCTGGGAGATCATTAACTTGGTTAGCTTTGACTCAATTATCTCCTGGACACAGAGGCGCCTATGCGGGATATATGTGTAAAGAATGGGAATCCCATGCTTGGAGACTGGGCATAAAATGTTGCATTCTGAGTAATAAAACAGATTACTCCCAGAACCAGGTCTTGTCTGGTTACTGGGGGAACAGAGCTATATTCACCAGCAGTTCCAGTTCTGGTTGAGAGAAGAGTTTAGCAGAGGTAACCAGTAGGGTTACCAGTGGTCCGCTGCAGCTACATATGTCTAACTTCTGGCGGATCACCTGGTACCCCGACTGGGTACCTCTGCCAATTATGCTTCCTAGCTATTCCCAACCCCCGTGGGAAGACTAACAAGGTACCAGACCTCCTGCCGGTCTGTACCTAAGTTAGTCAAGAAGCCTGCCCAAAAACAACTAGCTAACCTGCTAGCCTCCTGTGAAATGCACTGCCCTGGTAGGTCCACTTTGTTGTGGGTGTAGTGTCAGTTATCCCTGGTGTCTGATACCAGGCACTGCCGCTGGGGAATGATACCAGTTGTCAGACTGAAGTCAGACCGGTTTGTAACGGATCACCTGGCACCCCGACTGGGTACCTCAGTTGAAGGATGCTCCTAGCGCTTCCTGAGGACTCCAAGCACTGCAGCAGACACCACAACCACTGAACCGGAGAAGCATACGAATGCTCTCAAGCATATGAATGCTGTAAGCAGCTGAACAGGAAAAGCATACAATCAGCTTACACTCCTGGGAATCAGCATACATTCCAATTCCACCAATAACGAGACGACACTTTTGTGGCGGAACCAACCTCGCCACTATGCACTGGAGAAGCCTGGTTGCTCGCCTGCTCCCTTTACACTATGGCCCTGCAGTTCAGACCTGTTATTTTCCCTGCTGAAAGGTTTATTTGTGCCTTTCTGCCAGGGTGTTCGGTAGATTCAGTCTACCGAACAAACTACCGAACGATGGACCACCTGGGAACTGGAGTGTGCCGTCAATTGACCGCCCAGAAGCTGCGGTTAATTGTGCTTAATTGATGTACGCTGGGTGGCCTTTGTTCAGTTGCCGAACACGTGGCAGCGGCCATTTTACCTCCCGAACGGCCAGCAGTGTTCAGCGCCCAAACTATGGAACTGAAAACGGACACTTATTGGCGCGAACACCGCTGAGCCGCCAGCCTCCTTACCTCTCCATTCGGTAGCAGAACCAAATGACTGTTCATTCGGTAGTTTAACTGGATGAACAGCATCACCCCAGATAGCTAAGCCATGGAGCCTATTCATGTAACGAAAGAATATGTGAAAGACTTTGGCTCCATGGCGATTTTACAGTATGTATGTGATCTGAGCACCATTCGGTAGTAATGTGCGCTCAGATCTAAGCTATCTGGGGATATGTAGAATGTACATGTTTTATGTAATAAATGTAACTGTATGTAATTTTATGTCTTTTACTGAAAATGTGTTCGTTTTGAGGTCAAGCAGAACTGACTGTACTGGCACATACAGCCTCTTTTATTCACAATCCACAAATATAGTACTGCCCACAGGGTTTTGAAACACAGCCAATCAATCCGTACAATACACACAAAGTCCTCCAACTCTGCCTGTGATATGATTACTGAACACAATGGTTAATCTAATTATCACAGGCAGAGAAATACAGCACCATAAAACATATCACAGGGACCCCAAAACATGCAACAACCCCACAAAAAGTATATCCTCGGAACCGGGGAATCTGGGTGAACCACATATCCAAAATTCACCCAGATCCGTTCAGTAGTTTGGAAGACGCTGTTTAATGCAGATTCCGCAGAACATATACAGGCTATATGAAAAATAATTACTGTATAATGTGTCCCCTGTTGTGCACCAAATACCGGCAAGATGGCACCGTGTAGAAAAGTCCAAACAGTGTCTGTGAGTTAAAATGGCCGCCATCCATTGTTCTCACCATGTGCCTCTGATACATGAAATGGTGGCCACCCAGTAACTCCACAGTATGTCCCCAGATGGTTCTTAAAGGGTCAGCAGCATAATAAAAATCTATTATGCCCAAATCAGTTCCTAGAAGGGCAATACATCTCAGGACCATAGTCGCAGGGCAAGAAGCTCGCAAACAGTCTTCTCCAATGCCCGTTGGCGAGGCTGGTTCCGCCACACGGTTGTTTCCCCTTCCAGTGATGCTTGCTGCCACTGGGGAATGAGACTGGTTGTCTCCACTCCCAGAGATGCCTGCTGCTGCTGGGGAGAGGGACCAGTTGTCTCTTCTCCCTGTATGGTACACTGTCGCTGGGGAGTGGGACCAACTGTCTCCACTCCCTGTAACTCCAGCTGTGGTTGGGGAGAGGGGGGACTGGGCACTCAAATGGCAGATGAAATTTGAGGTAGAAAAAATGCAAAGATACGCACTTCATGGTAAAAAATGCACAAGTCTCCTCTCCCTGCAGGATACACCGCCGCTAACCCAAGCTTAACAGTTGTTGGTAATCCAGCTCCAGCTCTCATTCCAGGGTGACCAGATGGATCAGGTCTGGCCCCAGGTGGGCAGCTCCATGAAGATACATTAGGGTTTCCCTAGTACTGTGGATGACCCAGAGACGAAACTATGCTGGACTTCCAAAATCAATGTCCTCCTCCAGGGCCTCCCACAACAGGCTATTATAGTCCTCCCCCATCCACTGGTCACGCCGGGCTGCGTACCACTCTAGCCGGGCTGCGTAAGCCTCGTCCAGCCACAGCTCCCTCCATACTAGGTCCTCAAGTTACGTCACCCACTCCTCCAGGGGCTGTTCTCCCAGTAGAGGCACCCACAGAGCCACTTTTCTTTGTAACTGCTTGTAGCGGAGCTGCAATATTAAATCCCAAGATCTCCGCTGGTATAGAAAGTAATCCAAAGTAAAGCGCTGGAAAAGAAGGCAATATCCCAAATCCCCCAGTAACCAGACGAAACACAGTTCTGGGAGTCAACTGAATATTTATGTGATTCCCCATGCAAGGGGTTTCCTTAGTCACTTTACAGGGGCATTACAGTAGAGGACTACATGGGGAACTGAATATACAGAGCATTTCTCCCACCATGGACTTTCCTGTAAATGAGGGATACTCCCACTAGACTATCCTGTTTAGTGGATTATCCCTCCGTACAGCAGAACCGGGTTTTAACACAAAAATCCATAACTCAAAGTGGCCGCCATTCGAATACCGGACACGTGGCGGCGGCCATTTTAACTAATTCGAACGCGGTCAGCGGTGTGTGCAGCTAAATCTATGGAACTGTTTTTGGCTACCCAAGTGCACGAACACCGCTGACCCATACGTTCTACTCTACTTCGACACTGTGGCACAAGATTCGAACACTCGTTTGAATGGGACTTAGTCATTTTCTCAGTGTAAAATAGACCGACCGCACAGTCCAAATCCATGGAACTGTTTTGAGCATGGAAATGTGCTTGCGGTCGGTCAAAAGTGACTTATATGTATCTCCCGAACGGCTGAACGGATTCGAATGATTTTTGGGTATGTTTGTATTTGATATGTGCTGATTAATAATATGTGAATTGTATTAATATTTGATGTATGGTTTTAGAGTTATGAAAGTTTTGTAAAAAGTGTGTTTTAAAATGTACGGATAATTGGGTTACCTCTCAGGCTAAGGGGAGGAGATGTGTGGGATGAAACCAATGTGTGATTGGGTATTGTATAATTGTCCGTGGGTGTCTCCCTTGCAGGGGAGAATTGCATAAAAGCAGAGTATGTGTCATTACACAGCAGTTCTACTTCACCCTCAATTTGGAGTCCTGTCTCTTATTGGGGGAATCTGCTACAAGGGATTGCTATTGTGAAGGACTTTTATGTATTTGCCTGTGTGCTTTCAGCTTAACCCTCTCCCTGCTGCTTTAATGTTTGTATTTGTTCGGTTCAAAATGTTGAGAATAAATGTATTCGTTTACCGAACGGAGACCACACACCCTGGGTAGCAATCAGCATTAGAACGCAGAGAAAACCGCGACTTTATTGCTACTAGGTGGCCGCCATTCGACATATGAACACGTGGCGAGAACAAAGGATGGCAGCCATCTTAAAACTCACGAATGCGGTCAGCGGGGCTTACGCATGAATTGCCTGGAACTAATTTCGGCTTGGCAAACATGCGAACGCCCGGTCCCCATGGAAGTCCTGGATGAATACGTTCCCCTCCACGAATCAAACTAGCGTTCGGTAGATAGCATCTACCGAATGAGGGGAACATTCACATGTAACCAGCTGAACCATACGAACGGTGGTTTTCGTCTAGTTAGATGCGAACGGAGACCGGCTCTTGCTACTGATTCTATGGAACTCTAACTCTGATACCTCCACATGGCAAGCCGGTCAAACGTCCACACGATGCGACACGGAAACTACCGAACGGAAATTCGTGAGATTTGGATATGTAACTACGAGTATCCTCAGCTATCCAGGGATGTTAAAAGTATATTTGTATGTCTTGTAAAAAGTATGTTTCTGAAATTTTTAAAACATTTTATGTTTCTGGCCAGCAGATAATTGAGCTTTGTGTATTGTAGAAACTCAATTATCTAGCCTGGCCCAGAGGAGGAGTTTTGTGTTGCATAAATTGTGAGTTCTGTGTGCCAGTAAATTAGTCTTGTTCCAGCATTAAGCTTTGGCTCATGTGTGGATTATTCGGCGATTCCAGGGATATTTCTACTCGTGGAATATTGGGCGTTTTTCTTTTATGGGAAGAAGGGAATGCTTGACGGTGATACCCTATACTACCGTCACAGCTTGGCATTTCTTCTTACAGTGCCGCAGGCCAGTGTCTGCAAACTATAAAGAATTTTAAACAAGTGGACACTGCTGTAAAAATTGTCCACATAAAGGTGGTAACCCTTATTGAACAAGGGGATCAGTAGGTCCCAAACAAGTTTCCCACTTGTCCCCAGAGAGTCAGGACAGCCAGGAGGGTTCAGTTGAGCATCTTTCCCCTCATATACACGAAAGGCAAATGTGTAGCCACTTTCGCTCTCTCACAGTTTGTACACTTTAATGCCATACCTAGACCGCTTTGAAGGGATATACTGTTTGAACCCTAATCTCCCTTTATATTTCATAAGGGATTCATCAATAGATACATTTTGTTGGGGAGTATAAACTTCAGAAAATCTGTTCTGAAGATGGTCTACCAGTGGGCGTATTTTATGAAGCCTATCATATTGGGGGTGATCTCTGGGGTGACAGAGCGTATTGTCGTTGAAATGTAAGTATCTCAGCAGCAGCTCATATCTTGGTCTAGGCATTGTTTGGGAGAATATAGGAGTCGAACAAATTGGGTTGGTGCTCCAGTAAGAGCGGATTGATGGCTTCTTTATTATCCCCATGAGCATGGTAAGAGCCCAGAATGTTTTAAGTTCAGCGACATCTGTGGGATGCCAAGCATGCCCCCTTACTGTATAGCTACCTGGATTGGTCTCAGTAAGTTGGCTAGAGTATAAATTAGTCTGGGAAACAATCTCCTCCCAGATGGTATGCCCTAAAAATAACTCCATATATTGTATAGGGGAGAAGTCAACCACATTCACATTAATGCCTGCGTTGGCACTAAAAGGGGGGATGTTGGGCTCAGCTGACTGTGGAGGTACCCAGTCCTCCTCCACATTCGGAGTAGCAGGGAAGGACAGCTTCTTTTAGAAGCTGGCTCACACACAGATGACATGTCACTAGACGTGTCGCTAAACTGACCTGGGTCAAAATCGGACGCAGTGTCAGTGGCGTCAGAGTCTGACGCTAAGAAGGCATATGCCTACTCCAATCTGTACATGCGCTGCATGTTTCACACTAACAGACTAAACTAACAAAATACTAAACACAATAAAAAAAAATTTACACACTAAAACAGACTAAAACATTAATCCCTAAACTAACTGACTACGACAGTCAAAGACAGTCTAAGACACAGATTTTTTAAAATAAAGTTAACCCTTAAGGGCAAAAAAAAAAAAATACAGACAGTACAAATGCATTGTCTGTAACAGATCTGTCAGGGAAGGGGTTAAAGGGGAATTTTTATTAACTGCTGATACTTTTTAATTCTCTCTGGAAACCCTGCTGCAACAAACTTTCATGATCTCTGTCTCTCTCGCCTCACAAAACGCTACAGAGGGGAGAGAGTCAGAGATCAGTGTCAAAGTGAGTGTTTGTAACACCCACTTTGACACCAGCCAATTTTGAGCGATTGCGGATCGCTCACATGCCGCAATTGGCTGTTACTATCTGCCTGGGATGCCGGGCAGATAGTAACAACGGGATTTCGGCGGAAGTGATCTCCGATCGCTCCCGCCGCCCGTTTTCCATTAGGACGGTTCAGGACCGTCCTCGGTCGGCAACGCAAAAATGCCGAGGACGGTCCTGAATCGTCCTGCGTCCTGATGGGGTTAAGAGCTTGTTCCTGCTTCGCTCCGAAGAGAGGTTCGGCCTGCGGTGGTTGTGGTGTCAGCTAGAGTGCATGGAATCCTCAAGAAGCGCTAGGAGCATCCATCAACGGAGGTACCCAGTCAGGGTGCCAGGTGATCTGTTACACTTCAAACTGGGTTTTTTTGCCTTCTTTTGGATCAACAGTAAAAACAGATGTGAAGAAGACTGAACTTGATGGACACATGTCTCTTTTCAGCCTCTGTAACTATATATCATATACACACGGTAAAAAGGTCAGTCTTTTTAATTCAAATAAATTGTGTTTTGTCTCAGTGCCCCAACAACACTATTCCATAATCCTTTGTCTCTTGAAGTGCCAGCAGCCTTTTTCCATATCCTTCTGCACACTGAGCTCTCTATACAGTCTGGTTCACCGTGACCCATTTACCATCCTCCTCTGCCCTTCCTGACTCACTCTCTGTCACTCAGTCCTATGTGCGTTAGATGGAAACAATGACTGACAGAAACACATCCTCAGGGTATGGCGGTCTACATTGAAATAATTACAGTCAGAGTTTAGGACAATTCAGTACTGATGATGAGCAGTTTCTGTGACGGACCGCTGGCACTCCGACTGAGTACCTCTGCCAATCGATGCTCCTAGTGCTCGCTGAGGACTCCAAGCACTCCAACCGACACCATCAGCACTGCAGACCCCACTTCCAGCGATGCAGCTGCGCCGGGGTCTCGCCGTCTCCACCCACCCTGGCCAGGGTCCAGTTTCCAGTGGGGAACCTCTCTTTCCCCAGAGAGCAGGAATAAGAACAAGCTCTTAGCAGAGCTTAGTGATCATACCCTGGGGAGTATAGTGATTATAGCAATCCCCAGAGTGTAGTTCTCCAATCCCCCAAACATGAGCCAAGGCTTCAAGAAAGGTACAAGATGATCTCCTTTTAATGACCACACACTGGCTTTTATGCAAGTCCCCATGCAAAGGGGACATTCCACAGGGTGGGACACAGTACAACCAATCATTTACAGGAAAACCGTAAAACACACCCAGCACCAACATACAATCCCTCCCCTCTGCCTGTGATATAATTACTGAACACAATGGGTTAAGGAAAGATACACTTTTTACACATATACTGTAACTTTACAAATATGCATCATATTCACATAAAACATACGTAATTAGAATCAGCATACTTTAAATATAAACATAACCAAAAATCATGCAAATCCTTCCATTAGTTCAAAAGTTAGTCCGAAGTCCTTTGTGACCAAATGAAGCATAGCTTTTCTGCCCAAAACCAGTTCCACATAGTCTTCTATCCTGGAGATAGTTGGGAAGTAATCCAATTATCTCCAAGGACGGAGGCAAAACTCCATTGAACACATGGCAGCAAAAGACAATAAAACACATAAAAACATAAAAATATATAACTGTGCAGCCATTGCACAAAACAGGTACATTCAACATATCCCCAGATAGCTCAGATCTGAGCGCACATTATTACTGAATGGCGCTCAGAGCACACACATACAGTTCAATTTCCATGGAGCCAAAGTCTTTCCCATAGTCTTTCATTATACGAATAGGCTCCATGGCATAGCTATCTGGGGTATCACCGCTCAAACAGGGCAAGCACCGAATGACCCGGCTTTCGTGTCTTTGCAGGGGAAAATCAAGCGTTTCAACATGGGGCCATAGTCTAAGGGCAAGAGGCTGGCAAGTAGAGAGGTTAATTTCGCCACAGTTTTCATGGCCATTATTATAATATTTTATTTTGAGTTACTTCAGTCTCCCCCCGATTCCTCTTGCCCGCCCACCTCAGTTTCAGACCAGTACACTAATGACAGAGACAGGTCATTATTGTGCAGTACCAGCAAGCTCCTTCGTGAAACACAGCAGGAAGAGAGAAATACAGCAAGGTGGGCCTGCTCTGGAGAAATCCCACGGATCAGGCTGGCTACTGACAGCACAAGCTGTGCAATGATGTGCAGTGAATCAGACCCCCTCTCTGCACTTTCCCAGCATGGTTAGCTCAATGCTCCCTGGACTCGGTGTGGAAAGCATAAGAACAAAAATCATATCTACCTACAGAGAACGTCAATTGCCTCATTGAAAGATAAAGCTAGAACATCTCACAGTGAAATCCCATTAATTATTAAAGATGTGCACAGAAGCTACTTCACAAATGTATCTTATATTTGAAGACAGAGGTCTATAGATATATATATATATATAAAAAAAAAAAAAAAAAAAGAGTATGTAGTTGCTGTGACATTCCCAGAATCCCTCACCTCTCCAGTCAGCAGGTAGTTGACCTCCAAGATTAGATCCAGGATCCTCTCGGTCATCGGATTCCGGTTTGTCATCATTAAGCCAATCAGGCAGCCCAAGAACAGACTCTGTGGATCGTAAACATGAATTAGAATATTCTGTGGCTCTGTAATTACCGATATACAAAGTTTTTAAATAGGCACTGTACATCTAAATTGAGAAGAAAGTAAAGAATATTAATAATATATTTCACAGGATACTATAGTCCCCAAAACAAGATAAGGAAATAGCGTTTGTGAATATATATATATATATATATATATATATATATATATATATATTTATTTATTTATTTTTTTTTTTTTTTTATTTTTTTTTATTTATTATGTTCCTGCAGTCTCACTACTCAATTTTCTGCCATTTAGGAGTTAAATCACTTTGTTTAAGCAGCCTGGCAAACCCCCCCTACGTGTGACTTACACAGCATTTCATAACACTTCCTGTAAAATGAGATATAAGGTTTATACTTCCTTTATTGGATGTTCTCTTTCATTTAGAATATATCTCTTGCTCTTAATAGCCTTTTAGACTCTGCTAGAAGCTCCTCTGTGATTATAGTTCAATTTAAAGGGCAGAAGATAAGAACCTCTAATGCAAGTTAACATCTGATTGAAAATGAAACCATTTATTTTTCCTGCAGACTGTGAGAGTCATAGCCAGAGGAGGTGTGGTTAGTGCTGCAAGGATAGAAACAAAATGTGATTTAACTCCAAAATGGCGGAGAATTAAGCAGTGACATTTACACACAAAAAACACTTAAATTAACCAAAAGTTGTTTTGGTGACAATATGGCTATAATGTTCCTATAAATCAATTTCAAACATCCTCTGACAAGCAAAGTATACCCAGGGGGTGTATATTTACCCCCATACATTATATACACAGGGGGTGTATATTTACCCCCATACATTATATACACAGTATATACAGGGGGGGTATATTTACCCCCCATACATTATATACACAGTATATACAGGGGGTGTATATTTACCCCATACATTATATACACAGTACATACAGGGGGTGTATATTTACCCCCCATACATTATATACACAGTATATACAGGGGGTGTATATTTACCCCCATACATTATATACACAGTATATACAGGGGGTGTATATTTACCCCATACATTATATACACAGTATATACAGGGTGTATATTTACCCCATACATTATATACACAGTATATACAGGGGGTGTATATTTACCCCATACATTATATACACAGTATATACAGGGGGTGTATATTTATCCCCCATACATTATATACACAGTATATACCCAGGGCTGTATAATATACAATGTACACAGTCTATATACCCAGATAGTTGTATATTTATCACTCACAGCACTATTTACTCCAGATTTGCTGCTCCCTGTGTTGCCCAGCACTGTATCCACTACCTCTTTGTACAGCACTGGATGGGGGGCTTTTCATGTCCCAGTAGTTTTCATGGTAGAGATCTGTAATCCGGCTCTTTAATATGACGTCACCGAGGCTGACCCTCAGACGCCATCTTTGTTGTGGGCAGAGCTCCTATTGGTCTCTATGCAGTGTGAGGGCAGAGCCTGGAAACATGGGGATATTAGTGGGAAATGTATTGATGGGATGACTGTTTCAGTGTGAAGCTCTGCTGGAAATCAGGATCATGTTAACCCTTTACACATTAATGAAGACTCAGCCCATAGTTGGTGTTTCCATTGTTTATGGATGGCAACATTGGAAAACAATCCCAGGGACACTTTGTCACAGCTATGAATTTTATTAAGGACGCGGAGGCGAGTATTATGCTTAGTCTCCTTCTTTTATTCCTCTGCAGCAAAAATATTTATTTTATAAAAACAAATGAAACATGTAAACATGCACCCAAAGGGTTAACCTATAACAGTACAAGCAATCATAATGCCTTCAGCACCATCAGCTCCCCATGTGACCTTAAGCCACTCCTCTTTCTTGCGGCTGCCTTCCTCAGCTAAATCCATTTTATATTTTTCTCTGCATGCTACCAATATATATTTTTTTTAAATATATTTATTTGTTTTGATATTGCATTTGAATTTTCATTTATTTATGGGCTCCCGTACTTTGTTTCCAGCTGGTTCTTGGTTGTTCCTTAACCTTAGAGCCCATCCCTCATCCCTCTGTGGCAAAACTAGCCACTTGGACAATATGTGGGAAAAGTTACCTGTACCTTTATTGTACTGTATTATGTGCCTGGCTGTAATTGACTGTCTTCTCTGTATGTTCATTGTTCTTGTCAGCAATATGCCGAAAGCAGACAGCCTCACTGTATTTCGTTTCACGAACAGCGCCTTTGCGGGCTGTTCGTGAACCGAATGAACTACCGTTCAATAGCCCACACACTAAGGGACGTGTGGCGCTTGGTAATTAGAGGCTCTCCTAGGTGGCCGTCGTTCGGCTACCGACCATGCGGCGGTCGACCATATTGGATCCTTTGTTCCCCAGCGGTGTTTGGTCGTCGAGCGCATGGAACTAAAAACGGCTACTCGACGGCGCGAACACCGCTGGGCTTCCAGACCGTTTGGGAGCTCCAGGCCGTTCGTTAGTTTGGTCCTCCTATATGAATCGGTACTTTTAACGTGTGTTATAAATAATGTGTTTTTCGTGCGGCGTTCGGTTGTTTTAGCTGGGATCTGAGCGGTATTCTCACAAACTGTGTGCTCAGACCCCAGCAATCTACCAAACGTTCATTCGTGTAAATAAACCAAGTACAGTGAAAGTTATGTATTTTAAAGTAAATTGCCGGTTCTGCTGCACGGAGGGATAATCCAACGGTATATTCCAGTGGGAGTATCCCTCTCGTGCAGCAGTGCCTGATGGGAGAAATGCCCAGAATGTTAAGTCCCCCATGTAGTCCACTACTGTGTTACCCCTGCTAAGTCAGTATGGAAACCCCTTGCATGGGGACTTGCATAAATACTGGATGCTGTGAATAAAGACCTCAGTTGACTCCCAGAACTGTGTTTCGTCCGGTTACTGGGGGATTTGGGATATTGCCTTACTTTTCAGCGCTTGACTGTGGATTATTTTCTGTACCAGCGGAGCTCGTGGGATTTAATATTCCCGATCCGCTACACCCTCCCTTCCCTCCCATGTCTTAGTCAGGTGGATTATCACCTACTGAGCTAGGGCGGCTAGCAGCTCTCCGTGCGGAGGCTCTTACCGCCCAGTCTAATTCAGTGCTTCAGAGGTTTCCTCTGGGCTTCCCGGTTCACGGCTATAACAGCGGCTGGCGCCGTTCGGGAATGCGCACAACGCTAGTGCACATCACGGGGGCCATCTTTGGTTGCCGTTTTTGCCGTGTTTTTATTCCCGGGTTTTTTTCAGGTTGTGGGGACGGGAGTGCGATTGGACAACACAGTTGCTGGGCAACTCACCAGTGTGCCCCAGGAGCCATTTCTGAGGGAACACTTGGTGAGCTTGCCTTTTTCATATTGCTGTCTAGTTATTCTGGTACTTTGCTGTAGTACCCATATTGCCAGTGCATTATTATTGCCTATTAAGCTTTTTGCTTATCAGTGTGGTCATTCATTCCTACACCAGTAGTTATTTGGGTTCCCCCCTCTTTTCTCTGTCTCTCCCAACTGATATTTCCACTTACCATAACCACCGTGAGAACTGCTATTTTAATTATGAAGTCTCAAAGGGATATGGGCACAGCCTCTGGCGATTCTCCCATTAAGGCCAATATACCCCCTGCTCCCCAGGTTGTCCCCAGACCTTCTGGCTTAACTGTCACTAATGTGACAGACCAGGAGCATTTGAACTCGGAAGAGCTTCATTCTCTCCTGGATGCCACTATGACAAAATCTGTAACCCAAGCCACTTATTCAGCCATGGGAGTTATGTCGGACACTCTGTCCCACTCTATCAACCATGCCCTCATGTCCGCCCAGCGGACATCAACTCACATTGCTCCTAACCCTTCGGAGCACAATCCAAGCAACGCCAAAAAATCTCGCCACATAGACGAGGATGCCTCCAAAGTTATACAGACGGACAGAGAACGTCCTGTCAAAGATAATGTGGTTGCAAGACAACAAAGAGTCACCCACCGGGCAAAATTGGTGAGGAGTTAGAAAAGGGCGAAAGCCCAAGTGGAATCATCAGATTCGGAACAGGAGGAGGCATGGAGCGAGTCTGATGATGAGGACTCATACAATTTGGGCACACTATTCCCTGACCACAGCTCTCCATCTATGTCTGTGAATGAGGATAAGGACGGTGGGGAAGACTCCACCCTCCTTGACCCATAGGGTGAACCACTGTTTGACCCTGATACTCTATGTAGCAGATTGCATTAAGGCTGTCATCAAAATTTGTGTATTTTAATATGCTTTCGTGTATTGCTATTCCATGTATTCACATTGTATGCAGCATTCGGCTGATGGTTCGGTAAAATCACTCTGTTTACTATACAAGTGAAACTACCGAACAATCAGACCACCCCAGGGATAAGTTTGCCTCTCATTACCATTCGCAACAATTTTGCAAACCCCTAATTGGCAATCGGTACTTTGTTCTATGGGTGGCTGCCATTCGGGATACAAACATGTGGCGGCGGCCATCTTAACTCCCGAACAGCGGTGTTTGGTCATCGAGTGTCTGGAACCCAAATCGGACACTCGACTAAGCAAACACCGCTGAGACCTCCAGACTTCCATAGCTTCGTGCGGAACAACCGAACGAGCCTCCGTTTGGTAGAAAGTCTCGTCCGAACAAGGGTATTCACATGAAGGCAAGCAACAGCCATTTTATTCGGTATTTTCATCTGTTTAAACCCACGAACCAAGACCGACCGCAAAGGCCAAAATGTATGAAACTATTTTCGGCTACTGTTATCTGTGCGGTTGGTCAAAACTTTACTCTTCCATAACTCCCGAACCCGTGGTCCGATCTGGGTGATTTTTGAGTATGTTACTCACCCAGATCAAGGCTATCAGGAGATCCCCTATTTAAGAGTGTACCCCATGTATTTGGGGTACATCCAGAAACTGGGGAAATACTGTACA